GTCAGACAAAAATCCCAGCACAGTAAAGGGGGAGTGAACACAAAATCCCACCCTTAACCAAGAAGCTGTTTGCAATTGATACCTGCTGGAAGATGGAAAACTGAGCATTCTCTAGTGGAGTGACACTGGATCTATCAACCACACTACAGAAAGGCCCCACACTCAAGAATAGTTGGCCAACACAAAATGGAATCCATGACTTTGTATGCTCTTTTTGTTATGTTCTGCATATATCTCATATTTTCATAATAAAAATAAAAATTGAGCTGGGCAATGATGGCACACGCCTTTAATCCCAACACTCAGGAGGCAGAGACAGGCAGATCTCTGTGAGTTCAAGGCCAGCCTGGTCTACAGAGTGAGTTCCAGGACAGTCAGGGCTATTACACAGAGAAACTCTGCCTCAAAAAACAAAACAAAAAATAAATAAAATTTAAAAACCTGACATAAAAATTTGTATGATTAAGCAAAGCCTTTATATCAACTTCTAAAAACAGTTTTGTTTTAAATGTTTATCTTTCCTTTCCTGGAAATTACTAATTTTAGCCATGACAACCAGATACCACTACTCACCTTCCCACTGCCCAAGCCAACCCTACACAAATCGACTATCATTTTCTGGGGATTTTCCACACTACCAAGAAAACCAAGTTAATGACAATTCCACGATTTAAAAAACATGATACTTGCCAGTCGGTGGTGGCGCACGCCTTTAATCCCAGCACTGGGGAGGCAGAGGCAGGCGGATCTCTGTGAGTTCGAGGCCAGCCTGGTCTACAAGAGCTAGTTTCAGGACAGGAACCAAAAAGCTAGAGAAACCCTGTCTCGAGGAAAAAAAAAAAAAAACCAACCATGATTCTCTCTCTCTCCTCTCTCTCTCTCCTCTCTCTCTCTCTCTCTCTCTCTCTCTCTCTCTCTCTTTCCTTTCCTTCAGGGGATTATTACTGCTCCAACCCTCTTTTAACACTGAGAGGCTACTAAGCACGAAGGGGGATAGGATATGCCTGCCTATCACAGCAGATCTTCATTCTAAATCCATTTTCCTTTTAAGCTGCATTTACCCCGAGTTCTATTAAACAGCAAATATAGTCCCATTATTTTTATATTTTCTTCCAGGTGGCTCAAAGATTTTACAAACTGAATTAATTATTCCAGTGGGTTTGGGGGTAATAGTCATTCCTTTTTTTCCTTTTTGTCATTTTTTTACTTTTTCTCTCTTCTACTTTTCTTTTTAAAAAAGCATTAAAGGGTACCTTAGTGTTATTATTGTTGAAACACCATGACCAAATGCTACTTGAGGAGGGAAGGGTTTGTTTGGTTCACACTTGCACATCATTGTCCATCACTGAAGAAAGTCATGACAGGAACTCAAACTGGGCAGGAACCTGGAAGCAGGAGCTAATGCAAAGGCTATGGAGAGTACTGCTCACTGGCTTGCTCTTCATGGCTTGCTCAGCCTGCTTTCTTACAGAACCCAGGATCACCAGCCCAGGAATAGTACCACCCACAATGGATTGGGCCCTCCCCATCAATCACTTATTAAGAAAATGCGCTACGGGCTTTGCTATAACCCATTCTTACAGAGGCAAGTTCTTGGTTGAGGCTCTCTTTTGTCTGATGACTCTAGCTTATGACAAATTCATATAAAACTAGCCAGTACAGTACCTATGTAGTCAATCCTACTTTTGTGGGTTTTGACTGGTTTTATTGCTTTGTAGCCTAACAGAGGCTTAGGTGCTGAGGCTTCTTCCTCCTCCTCCCCCTTAAGCCACTTCACTGCTCTAAGGTTCCTCAAAGATAGAACCAACTGCACACAGCAGCCCCAAAATGCTTTATTTGACTCTCAGTGCCTCCTTGTTCTGCTGCCTCCCAGGCCAGTAAACTGAACATAACTGTGATCCTGAAGAGTTCTGCGAAATGTGGAACTTTATCGATAAGGTATAGTTGGTCCCAATAGTTTGGCATAAGATCAGAGTGGATTTTGTAGACTTATCCTGGCTCTTAAGTCGTAAGGGTGATCAATCTATTGAGTGGCATTTAATACTGGCTATCAAGAGACAACAGTAACTTCCCGATAAGATACTGACAGCATTCAAAGTACCACTCAAGAAGTGAACATTTATTTAAGTGTCTTAGGCCTTCATTTCCAGGCTGAACCCTGGGCTCTTACAATTTTTCCCCGTGCTCAGGCCTGGAGCAGTGCCCTCTTTTGGATGATGGACCTGGAGCTTTATCAATAGAGAAGACATTAAAAGGCTCAATAGCTACCTTTCCTTTTTGACAAGTAGAATAAATTTAAAATTTGGCCCGTTGAGTTCACTTAAAAAGAAGAGAACCCAAATGACATTAGGAAGAACTTGGGAGCAAGCTTGAGTGGGAGCTGGTTTAATGACAAGAACTAAAAGACAAGGCTAGCTGACAACACCTGCAGGTGCTGATCCACTAGGTCACAGGACTGGGGAGGGAGGACTAAGGAGAAGCATAGGTTTGCTCCCTGGTGAACTCTCACGTCTGCATTGTTCACAGGTGCCAAGAGTCAGACACAACCTAATGTCTACTGACAAAGGAATAAAATAAAATAAAAATAAAAGTGATGGATATAGAAAGTGAAATATTATTTATTCTTTAAAAGGAATGGCACTACGATATAGTATTGCAACACAGAGGAACCCTGAGATAGCTGAGTGAAATGATTCAGACACAAGAAGGTCAGTAGTTTTTGTACCTAAGTAAATTCCTTGTTAGTAGTATTGGTAAGATGATCAAGGTGCAGATTGCATGTAATTTTCATCTGCTCAAACTAGATTCTGATATGAATTATATTATGAGCCAATACAGATAGCACTGTAATTAGAATTCCTAACCCTATTCCTAGATCCAATTTATCCATGTATTTAATAACGAAAGACTATCGCTATATGTCAGGCATTGTGAACATGGTAGAAATCAAAGAGAGAAAAAGGCAGAAAGTCCAGAAGTGTTAGAAATGTATGCCTGAATACCCAAATGGCCTTATGATAAGATAATCCCAGTCTGCTCAGTCCAGCAGGGGTTCCTTAGCTTAATGGGTCACTTCACCCCATATTTCTCCTCTGGGAGGGAAAAATGAAACGGAAATTTGACATAGATATGGGGAGTAGTCATAGGAGTTGCAAAATGGCAAACACAATTCCCATTAAATTCTCTTCTGGTTGGGCTGCATCTTGAGTGCTTTTTTTCGTTTCTATTGCCACATTCTGAAAAGATGTGCACAAATTTGAATGTGCTCAAAGGACTGAGGATACCACTTGGTGATAGTATGTGCTCAAAGACCTGGTCTCCTGAGAGACTGCAAAATGAACCGAGGGTGCTTACACTGTAAAGACAGTTACTAAAGAGTGAGATAAGTCAAATACAGAAAGAGCTTGTTGGACATGTAGTAAACAGATAACTTATTCTGCACCTACAAGGGGAGATCAACTAAGACAGCAAACATCACAGCTGGAATAAGCTCTGAGCCCTGGTGACACAAGACACTGCAGAGAAGGTCTTGTGGGAATATAGCTCTGATGGCAGTCAGTCTTTGCACATTGATCCTTTCCTCCACACTGGGTGCTCCCGAGCCTCCTTAGAGCTATGGCTTTAACTTGGAGGCAAAGGTTATGTTTGGGTATTGCATCCTTAGGGGCAGTACCCATGCACAGCACTACAGAAGCTATTCCAAAAGTTTGACAGAGTTGATATTTGAGATGTAAAGGAGCCCCACCTAGTTCCCATCTCCGTCACATATCTGGAATGGCCTTGGGCTGGACCCCACTACCCGATTACTTTCCTTTTTAATTTATTTAACTTTCTTTTATGTGCATTGGTGTGAAGGTTTCAGATCCCCTGGAACTGGAGTTACAGATGGTTGTGAGCTGCCGTGTGGGTGCTGGGTATTGAACCTGGGTCCTCTGGAAGAACAGTTAGTGCTCTTAACCACTGAGCCATCTTACACCAGGCCCCCTATTACTTTCTTATTTGTTATTTGTAACAACTAATAGTTTCTGGGAAATGTGTCATTTTAGAATTTAGTTAAACTTAACTTTTTTGTTTTGAATTCAAAGAATATTTATAATGTTCAAAAGAAAGTTCATGAGGGCAAGGTTTTCTAGGTCTTACTACTTTATCTTCAAACCAGGAGCAAACACTGACTTGTTTCTCATGATTTTAAGTGTACATGCACATGCACACATGCACACACAAACACAGAGTTGTATTTGTATTTAAAACATATCAGGACATCTCCTGAAGGTTAGTTCATGGCAGTATAGAATGTACTCCCTGTTATTTTTACAAGTGTGTATTATTCCACTATCTAGATATGCTATAGTTGATTTAACTAGTGAGTGCTTAGGTTGTTTCTCATCTATTGCTGTCCTAGGGCTGATCGTGTATTATATGCTTAATATATGTGTGGACTTATCAATAGAATGTGTTCCTAGATGCAGAGTGGCTGAGTTGAATAAAGGAGAGAACTTCTATTTTTGTTTGGGGGATCTTACAAAGAGTGGGTGAGAATGCCTGTTTCTGAAGCCCTTTCCCACTGAATACAACATAAGATGTCTCAGGTTTTCCCAAACAAGCAAAAGAGAAGCAGATAATTCTGTTTTCCTCACTTGGTGACGAAATGAAGCATTATGTGTCTGATCATGTGAACTTTATAATAAGGTCAATGAAGAGAGTCATCAATGAGACTAAGCCTGGAAGTAGAAGGAGGGACACTGAATCTGCAGGGTGAGCCAAGGTGGGTTTTTATTCTTCTAAATGAATGTTCTTCAGAGGTTCTTGTAAGCATGCCAGTCTACAAGCTATTTAGCCTGTAAACTATGTGGCCTACACTGGAAAAATTCAATTAAAACAAAACAAATGTAATTTCAGAAGTAAAACCACATCCAGAACCACTTATAATGCTTTTTAAAATTTTTAGTTTAAATTTAATAAAGCAATTTACTTTTGTATTTGAAACAAAATTTAGGATTCAAGTCTGTTTCCCGGTAACACATTAGCTCTGAAAGCGGCTTTCTCACACCTCCATGGAACGAGCCCTGGACACTGGCCTCTTTGCTACCCTAGACTTGCTCCCAGTCCCACCTCAACCCCGTAAGTCTTACCCCACTCCTACATTTTTTCTGTGGGGTTGAGAGGGTTTTGGCAAAGATTAGAATCTTTTCACTGGGGACACTGGCATTTCACAGCCTCCCTGCTCATTAGCAGTCTGGCCCATTAGCTCCCTCAAACACAGTGAGGAAACCAGCTCAATCTAGTTTACCCCTAGAACAGAAGCCCATTATCAGCAGCCCAAATATCCTTTTGCATTTTGCATTGCACTTACTAGTTCCACATATGTTTTGGTTAATAGTAATACCATCTTCCTAGTCACTAAGTTGAAGTCTCGGTTTCCATCCATGTAGATACAGCACACATACCCTGTACTTTCAAGTGTTTCAAGAACCCAGCTACCCCTCATAGTCTCCATTTCTCCCAGCCTGATGCCAGCCACTGTCATCTCCTGCCTGGACTACTTTCAAACCCTGATGGATGTCCCTGTGTTGCCTCTGACTTTTCCTAGTTTATTCTCAGTACCGCCAGTAGAGCCATGCTAAACTGAACATGGGACAGATCCTGTCAGTGCTGTATTTATTGTCTTCCTATGGCATTGCCTGTCTCAGAGAAATTTTAACACCATAGTACCCCACCCTACCCCAACAGCTCCTTCGCCTGTTCATTTCCTGTTCTCCCTCTACCACTACTACCATTGCAACATCTGAATGCCAGCTGGTACTTTTGCCTGGAATATGCTTCCCCACATACCCAGATGGTTCACTTCTGCATGTTCCAGTCTATGCCCCAGTGCTGGAAATAGAACACAAGGCTTTGCAAGTGGAAGGCAAGTGCTTTTCCATTGAGCTACAATGCCCAACTCCCAGCTCCTCTGTTAGGACTCATGAGTAGTCACTATCTGAGACAGGGCCATCCCTCGGCTGCTGGTTCTGGGTTATATAAGAAAGCAGGTTGAACAAGTCAGTAAGCAGCTCTGCTCCATGGCCTCTGCATCAGTTCCTGCCTCCAGCCCTGATTTCCTTCAGTGATGGACTATGATGTGGAAGTGCGAGCCAAGCAAACCCTTCCCTCCCCAAGTGGTATTTGGTCATAGTGCTTTATCACAGCAATAGTAATCCTTACTAAGAAAGGATCAAAAATCTAAGACTCCAACAACTAATGAAGCATACATACTCCCATCTCAACCATTGTCCTACATGAGTATACACATACTGGCACATGCACAAACACAAATACACACTCATTCAACAAGAATCTAGAGACAGTGTTGAGGATGAGTTCACACAGATACACACACATGCACACTCACACACACTCACCCAGTGGATGGATGAGTTAACTTCCTCATCAAAGTAGCATGCACTTATTTCCGTTCTCTGACATTGAAGGTGCCTCAATCACAAGTTTCTACTGGGCACAGTGGCCCCACATGTAACCCCAGAATTTTGGAGGACAGGCAGGAGGATCAATAGTTCGAGGCTACCCTGGGCTATACAGTGATACTCTCTCTGAGAAAAAAAAATAGCTTCTAAAAAATTTCTCTTAATTGTATGTTTTAAATTTTTATGTAAGGGGTAGGGGAAATGGCTCAGTGGTTAAGAGCACTGGCTGCTCTTGTAGGGGACCGGGGACCTGGGTTTGGTTCCCAGCACCCCGATGGCAGCTCACACCGCCTGTATTTTAACTCTAGTTCTTGGGGATCTGACTCTAGCATCTGGCCTCCTCATTATCAGGCATGCACGTGATGAGTATTCAGGCATTTGGGCCAACATAAAAAACATATATAAACCTTAAAAATATTATGTCTTCTTTACAAATCTGGCAGAAGTTCTATTTGTTTATCTGCCTTTAAGTAAAAGGCATATTGGTTTGTTACTGTTTCAATGATAACCTTAAGCAAAGCATTAACTAACTTTACTTAAAATATTACTTAACTCTCAGAAAACATTCCCTTAAATGACCCTCTTCTCTCCTTCCTCTCTCCTATAGACTCAGTCAGCTAGCTAGCCACAGGCCCATTTATTTAACTTCCCTACTCAGCCTCTTGCTCGCTGTAGGAACTGTTCCCTTTTCCCATTCTGATCAAACGTCTTGCTCCTAGGAGACCAGTCAAGAGGCTCTTCCCAACAACTCTTCTGCAGCTTAAATCTGAGTCTCTGAAGTCATTAAGGACCCTTAGAACCCAGGGGATGTTAAGACCCATACTTATGCAACCTTACCCATACCACGACTTGGAGTCTTTCCAGATCCAGGTGACTTAAAAAAAACACTGGCTCCACCATTTCCACCTACCATTCATAGGTTCCACTCTGACCTGGGTACTTACTCCTCTAAGAAACTGAACAGAAGGCTTCATTTCTAGAGCCTGGATCTTTACTTCACTCTCACTATCTGTTGCAGTCAGTTTGGGTTGCTGCAACAACGATGTCATAGGGCAGGTGGTGTATAAATAGAAACTAATTTCTCCCAGCTTTGGAAACATCGAGATCAATTTGAAATCACACTATCTGGTGAGAGCCTGCTTGCTTTCTCACAGTCATCATCTCGTTGTGACTTCATGTGAGAAGAGTCAAAGGAAGAGTGTGTGGGGCCTTTTTGAAAAGGACCAATCCTACTCACTAGGCTTCTGTCTCCAGGGCCTGCTGGACTTCCAATGGCTCTACTTCCTCGTCCTACACTGGGAGTTAGGGTTTCAGTGCATAGCTTTTGGGGACACAAACATTCAGACCACTGTACAATCCATCCAGACGTCCAGCAAGAGATCTCTGCATCACTTCCACATCACTTACCCTGCTCCCTTCTTTCCCTATGTGCTGCATTAATCAGTTTTATCATTTCTGATAAACAACTTCAGGAAGTGGATTGTTTACTGATCTAATTGCTGTGACAAAAGCACCTTCAGGAGGTTGACCTTGGCTCACAGTGCAGGGTTCAGTCTATCACTCCATGCACTGACTTTTCAATCTCCTCAATATGTCCCTTGATAAGGAGAACTTGAGGTTCTGATGTAGTTCAATTTGTCTGTTTAATCACCTTTTGTTTATTCTTTTAGTATCATAAATAAGAAATCATTGCCTAATCTAATGTTATATGTATTTTCCTTGTAAACCATTTAAAGTGTCTTATAGTTTTAATTTTTCATTTTGGTCTTTGATCCACACTGCATTCATTTTTTACATATGGCCTAAGTGTCCAGCTTTATCTGCCTGCATAGGGATACCCAGTTTTCCCAGCATCATTTGTTGAAAAGATTTTCCTTGTTCCATTGAAAAGAACTGGTTAAAGTTCATCTGTGTGTGTAATAGGTAATTTCTGGGCTATTTTGTTACATTAATCTATACCATTTTCATTAACAATTTTAATATTGAACACACACTGAAATACTATTTTAAATAAATTAAATAATGCTTGAAATTAATTTTGTCTGTTTTCTTTTACTTTTTCAATGTAACCCCTAGAACACTTAAAACCACACATATGGCTTCCATTCTATTTCTGCTGGAGATGCTCTAAACTGGAGTCACAGGCAATGTGGAAAGCAGCTGGAACACTGTAGGATAAACTGATTGTAAGTTCTCTTTCCCTTCTGCTGACTTGTCATTACAGAACTTATAGAAAGAAAACCACTATGGCAAGCCGGGCGGTGGTGGCGCACACCTTTAATCCCAGCACTTGGGAGGCAGAGGCAGGTGGATCTCTGTGAGTTCGAGGCCATCCTGGTCTACAAGAGCTAGTTCCAGGACAGGCTCCATAAGCTACAGAAAAACCCTGTCTTGAAAAAAAGAAAGAAAGAAAGAAAGAAAGAAAGAAAGAAAGAAAGAAAGAAAGAAAGAAAGAAAGAAAGAAAGAAAGAAAGAAAAAAGAAAACCACTATGGCTAGTGAGGCTTTTGAGTGGGGCAAGGTCAGGTTTCAGAACCTCTTCAACATAGCAGCCATGAATATAAATGTTCATATGCCTACCAAGCAGACTTGAAATATAGTCTGTGTCAATTCAGATTTCTATAAGTGTAAAATACAGACAATACTTCAAAAACTTAGTACAAAGAACAAAATATCTAAGAAGTTGTATCAATTACATATTAAAATAATGTTAATAGATATGGTTAAATACATAATTATTTATTGTTTGTATTTGTATTGTGTGTATTTGCACATGTGCACATGCATATTTGTAAAAGAAGAGATGTGCTTCTATGGGAGTATCAGAACACTACTTTCAGGACTTGGCTCTGCCTTTCCACCGTGGGTTCCAGGGGTTGAATTTAGGTCTTCAGGTTTATGTGACAAGCACTGTTACCTACTGAGATATCTCACCAGCCCATAATACATATTATTAATATTAACTTATTAGGCTTTTTCCTTTTTTCTTCCATGTTATTTTTTTCCTTTCTCTTTCTCACACACACTTTTTTTTCTTTTTCCTTTTCTTTTTTCTTTTTGAGACAGAATGTTACTATGCATCCCAGGAACTTGCAACTTCCCCGCCTCAGTATTAGATTATAGGTATGTGCCACTTTACCCAGATCTATTTTGTTTGGGTTTGTCTGTTTTTCTCAGACAAGCTTTCATGTAACCTAAGGTGGCCTTGAATTTACTATAGTCAAGGGTGACTTTAGACTCCTGATGCTCCTGCCTCCATCTTCTGAGTACTGGGATTACAGATGTATTCCACCCTGGTTCTGGCGCTGATGTTGGATGTCCTTCTATATATGTGTTGCTTTCATTGGTTGAAATCTAAACAGAGATATGTATAGAGAAAGTAGGCAGACTCAGGAGAGGTCATGTACTGTTGAAGGAGACAGATGCATCAGGAATCTTAACAGGAAGTCACAGCCTTGTGCAGATACATAGATTAACAGAAATGGGTTAATTTAAGGTGTAAGAGTTACTTAATAAGAAGCTAAGGTAATAGGCCAAACAGTGTTGTAATTAATATAGTTTTGTGTTATTATTTGGGTCTGGGCAGCCGGGAAACGAACTAGCAGTCTCTACCTACATGGCTCCACTTATTTTTTTCAGTACTTAGAATTAAACCCAGGGCCTCACACATGCTAAGAAAGTACTCTACCATTGAGCTCTAGCCCTAATCTTAGAGCTATAGATTCACAGCAAAATTAAGGAGACAGTACAGTGGTTTCTCCTATATCTATATCTATCTATCTATCTATCTATCTATCTATCTATCTATCTATCTATCTATCTATATCTATATCTATCCTATCCATACAATGCCTATGAGTATCCTCCACCACAACAGTGCATGTGCTATAACTGATGATCACACAGACCCTGCACTTCACACCAGGGTCTACTTGCATACTCTATGAGTTTGGGTAAATTTACTGTATTCACTATTCCAGTATTATGCTGTGTCTACCTATTTATCCTTTCCTGTCATAGAGATTGTGGGCTCTTCAGATTGGGTTCTCTGGCTAATATGCAAGTAAGATTCCCCTCAGGTCTTCTGTTTTTATTTTTGTTTTCCAGACATGGTTTATCCATGTAACAGCCCTGGCTGTCCTGGAACTCACTTTGTAGACCAGGCTGGCCTTGAACTCACTGGATCCACCTGCTTCTGCCTCCCAAATGCTGGGGTTAAAGGCATGTGCCACTACTGCCTGGCCTTCTCAGGTCTTTTTATGGCATATAGTTCATATTAATTTTTACTTTAAAATATATCTTTCAAAAAGACTTTTAATTATTAATTTTCATTATATGCCCATGTGTGTATGGGGGTGGGGTATGTACATGAATGCAGTGCCCATGGAGACTAGAGAGGCATACTGGATCTACTGAAGCTGTAGTTATAGCTAAGTTACCCAAAATGGGTTCTCTTCAAGAATAGCAAGCACTCTTAACTGTTGATCAATCTCTCTAGATCCTCTTAAAACATTTAAAACGATATATTCATCTTATGTTATGCTTTGGTTGGATGCTCTTTGACTTGATGTGGGAAATTTTTCAGAATGCCATTTTCCTGCCTCTCCAATAGTCACTCAAATACAAACCTGTCACATTTAAGCCTCTGCTTCCTGAAAGTGCTGGCCTCTTTGCCTTTACCTGAAGTAGCATCTTCTTTAATTTACTAAAATCCAATTCAAACAGGACATGTTCAATGAAGGTTTTCAAATTTCTACTGCCCTTAAACCATCTCTTACAGCATATCCAGCGTAAATTTTAAGCATGTGCCACCTAGCTTTACTTCCAGATTACCAGGTCCTTGAAGTCCAACCCTACATTTTATTCACTTTTTTCCATCCCCAATCTCTAGCATAGAGCACACAGTATACCCTCACAGATGCTAAGTCAACAGTGACTAAAATTGAAGACAGGATTATCATCTCATAAGATAAAAGTCAAAACAGACAGAAAAGGCTCTCAAAAGTAACAGGCTAAACTGCAAAGTCTATTAACTAACATTTCAATCCAATCAATACCTTAATCAAAAGTACTTAAAATGTGTTACAGTGAAGAGATAGAGAAAATAGACTCTAACAGTCAGCACACTGGAACTGACTTGGAAACAAGGGGACTAGCCATGGAAACAAGATGACTAAAACCACATTCGATATCCATTAAATGCTGATGGCCTTCCCTACCAGAAAGAGGCACTCAAATGAGCCTTTGATGTAGTTTCCACAGAAAGCCACCAACATGATTAAAGGGTTAGAAAATGAGATTTATGGGCCATGGCCAGAGGAACAGAGACAACTTCGCCTAGACAAGAGAAAAGGCCGAAGAGTGACTTAATAACCATTTCAATCATTGTTATTACACAGACGACAGTAACCAGATGGTCTCCATTTCCACCAAAGAAAGAATATTGAAAAGTACTTAAGCTGTAACAACAACAAAAAAAAGTTTTCTAGTTTTAACAAAGAACCTGACAGTTAAGAACTGAAATACAGTGAAACAGACCCAGGGAGTGTGGAGTGTGGCATTTCTGAACCCCTTTATTAGGCTGGAAAGCAGCAAAAGAGAAGGGTGTGTTCAGGCAGTTCTTGGTTGAGAGCAAATTCTCAACTGGCTACTCCTCAAAACATGTTAACAAACAACCATAAAAATGAAAAAGAAGGTATGAACATTGAAGCACAGCACCCTCTGGTGTACATAACTGTCCTACAATCAAGGAACATTCTTGAAATTGTACTTCTCAAAATCTGAGATACAAACTATGACAAAACTTAGACAAATGTACAAAGTTACTAATAGGATCCATTTATCACTGTATCTTCCATTATCAAGCACTAACTATGTACTTCCTTGGGAAGTAGGAAGTACAACAAAGGCAACCTCAACTCCCAAACTTAGTAAAAACTGATATCACCCCCATCATCTTTTGAATGCTGTATTAAAAGACTTTGATATATCAGTGGTACCAAAGTTGGCACATGAACATTCCAAATGTTGAGGTCTGATAATACCATCTGCCAAATAATGACTTTGCCAGCATTTCAAAGTATATTTATCACATACAAAAGTAATGAGACCACATTCCCCTGTTCTGCTGGGTATAACCCAGCCCTTCCTTACTACTTTCTGTGTGCTACCACAATCTTCCCAAAAACATATGATAATGTCTATTACATAAATACCCTACAACCTGGGATCGTTTTCTGCCTTAGTTAGGGTTTTTATTGCTGTGATAAAACACCATGTCCAAAATCAATTTGGGAAGGAAAGGGTTTATGCCATCTTACACTTCCAGGTAACAGTCCATCACTGATAGAAGTCAGGGCAAGAACTCAAACAAGGTAGGAACCAAAGCAGAAGCTATGGAGGAGTGCTGCTTACTAGCTTGTTCCTCATGGATTGCTCAGACTGCTTTCTTAAGTCATCCAGGACCTGCCCAAGGGTGGCATTGCCCACACTAATCACTAAGAAAATGCCTGATTTGTCTATAGGCCAATCATATAGAAGTGTTTTTCTCAATCAAGAGTCCCCCTTCCCAAATGACTCTAGATTCTATCAAACTGACATAAAACAAAACAACTGACTACTTCCTGTATCACAAATACCAATAGGTTATGTTTACATCTTCCTGAGCTATATGCTCCAAAACTTTTCCCGTAACTTTTTTTTCTATTTTTAAGTACAAGAGACATTCAGCCAGCTCAAAATGCCCCAAAATAAGCCAATAACCTTCTGCAAACTACATGAAGTGGTTTATATCTTTAATGCTAGCAACTGGGAGACTGAGGCTAAAGAATCATCCGTTCAAGGTCACTCTGGGATACATAGACTCTTTCTCAAGATGAATGAGACGTAAAGAACTATTTTTTTAAAAAATGCTTATTTTTATTTTATGTGTTTGAGTTTTTTGTCTGCATGTATGTATGTGACCACATTCATGCCTGGTACCCATAGAAGCCAGAAGAGAGTGTTGGATCCCCTGGAATTGGAGTTACAGGAGGCTGTTAGGAGCCATGTCTGTGTTGGGAATTGAACCCAGATCTTCTGGAAGAGCAGTAAGTACTATTAACTGCTAAGCCATCTCTCCAGCTCCTAAAAAAGAATCTCTTACATTCCTCTCCATATCTTTAGTCATCTTGGTATCAGATGGGAAGTTCATTTTCATGACATACACACTTCTTTCATGTGACTCACCTTACCAAGAAGATGATGTGTCCTAAATGACATAGTCACAGTTTTGTGAGGGAGACAGATGCAGGTCAAAAGAGAAGCTCATAGTTCTATAGGCTAATGAAAAAGGAAAAAGCAATGGAAATACTAGAGAACAATTAGCAAGGTGTCCCTCAGGATATCAGGCAGAGTTCACATCCTAAAAGAACAAACTCAAATGAATGACAAGGAGTTATACAGGCAAGAGAGAGGAATATGTTTTATTCTAGGTGTAAAATCACCAAGGTTTAAAAACAGCTACTCACCTTCGGGAGAATGGAACCATGCAACACACTTTGCCCTATCCAGCCATTTCCTGGGAGGGGTCATTAAAAAAGGACCTGGAGAACACGAACTTGCAAGTAGCACAGCATATGCCTAAGAGTCAAGCAACGTAACAATCGTGACCTAGACAGGCTCTGGTTCCTCAGCAGCAAGCCAGGCAGGGATAGAGAATAGCTGCAAGCACACAGCATGGCTGGGGAGGAATTTCTCTAACATACTTCTGTGGCCCAACCAGCAGCCTCATCCCAGGCCTGTCCTCTGTTTCTGTTGCACTGACAACCCTGCCTCTGACTTTCCAGTATAAACTTCCTCCCCAACAAGATTTGCATGAAGTTTTATGCCTCCATCACACTATACATATGGAGCTCAAGCAAAGCTTGAAGGCTAAGCTAAGTCATAGCTGACACATGTGACTAGGGTTTCAGGAGCACCTGTGAACCAGACACCACCCGCTGTCTAGTTGGCCTGCTTTGCTCTTTCTCAGAAGCATCTATCCTGCTTTTGGCTAAAATTTTTCCTAGCACTCTATTTTATATTCATAAGCTATCTTCCACCCTCCAAGTGAAGAGAAGGGACAGATATTACTCTTTTCAGTTCAGAGTGACCTAGGTTAAAGTGAAAAACACCAAGCCAAAGAGGTTAGCAGGGAAGTGTCTTCTTGAGCACTCAAAAGAATGTGAGAGTCCTACCTCCTGAGAGAAAAAAGAAACCCAACTCAATTACTGTAAAAATAGGTCACTCACTACTTGAATAGATGGCAGCAAGCCCATTTTGTTTCTGACTCCAATGTCACAAGAAAGGGACTGCCCAGTCTTAGAATAAGTGTTCCATGACCAGCTGGCCACCTTGGCCTGGCCTTCCAGTTGGCATTCTAGAAGCAGCACACAGGCCAGGACAGTGTGGAGCTCAGCAAGCCTTTGTCACTGCTGACATGAAATAGCAGAGTTGATAAGGTTTTTCTATTTTGTTTTGAACATGTTGAGAGTTCAAGGCTGTCTTGTAAGTCTTTCCTCAAACTTAGCAGTACTTTATTAATAGGGATACAATGAAAAGAGTTCAACTAGATCACTTCTTGTGTGTCCAGGCAGCCTTGGCTGGTAAGGCATCAAAATTTGGGCTCTGTGGAGAAAAAAAGCTATTTTGCACAAAGGGTGGGGGAGCTAAGAATTATTGATGGAGAATACTAAATATTGGTAAAACAGTAAATAATGAACTTTTTTTGGTAAAAACTTACATAATGCCATTAACTTTTGTTCTCTGTGAAAAACACATAACAAAAAACTAAGTTTGATAGGTTTACCTAAGTTTATATTTAATTAATCAAACAACAAGTAAAGCCAAGTGTGGAGACTCACCTGTAATACCACCTCTTAGGAGACTAAGAGTAAAATCTTGTTTCATAATAAAATAAAAAAATCAAACTTTAAAAACATCAAAATATATAGGAAAGTCATTAATTTGCAGAAATGTATTCTTACAAACAATTTGTGCCTTGCAAAAGTGGAATCCTTCAAGTCCCCAGGCTCCTTTTCCATGATTAGAGTCACTGACCTGTTAAAAATTGAAGATTATATATCTACCAAACACCATATGGATTCCGAGTCACAAGTAAGAAGCCCAATTTAAGATGGCCCACAATAAGGGAGGGTGCTGGCACACATATGGGAGAAAGTTTGTTAGTCATATCCTAAGGGTAGCTTCCCTAATCACAGCTAACAAACAACTGTCCCAGGTTTCAAGTCCCCCAACATCTAGGTCAGAAGAAAGGCTGGTCCACTTCCAATATCCAGGAGGATAACTATATGTTATTCTTTGGGTTCTCCTTCTTATTTAGCTTCTCTAGAATCACGAATTATAGGCTCAATGTCCTTTATTTATGGCTAGAAACCAATTATGAGTGAGTACATCCCATGTTCATCTTTTTGGGTCTGGGATACCTCACTCAGGATAGTATTTTCTATTTCCATCCATTTGCATGCAAAATTCAAGATGTCATTGTTTTTCACTGCTGAGTAGAACTCTAAAGTGTATATGTGCCACCCCTTCTTTATTGACAGGGGTTGGGAGCACAGCGGTGGGGGTGGGGTGGGAATAAGGGGAGAGAGAAGGGGAAGATGGGGAGAGCTTGAGGGAATGGGATGGTTGGGATGGAGGAGGGGTGGGTGAGGGAGCAGGGAAGTAGATATCTTAATTAAGGGAGCCATTTTAAGGTAGCAAGAGACTTGACTCTAGAGGGGTTCCCAGGTGTCCAAGGAGATGTCCCCAGCTTGTTCCTTGGGCAGCAGAGGAGAGGGTGCCTGAAGTGGCCTTATCCTATAGCCACACTGATGAATGTCTTGCATATCACCATAGAACCTTCATCTGGAGATGGATGGAAATAGAGACAGAGACCCACAATGGAGCACTGGACTGAGTTCCCAAGGTCCATATGAAGAGCAGAAGGAGGGAGAACAAGAGCAAAGAAGTCAGGACCGCAAGGGGTGCGTCCACCCACTGAGACGGCGGGACTTATCTAATGGGAGATCACCAAGGCCAGTTGGACTGGAACTGATGGAGCATGTGATCAAACCGGACTCTCTGAATGTGGCTGATGGTGGAGGCTGATGGAGAAGCCAAAGACAATAGTGCTGGGTTTTGATTCTACTGCATGGATGGGCTTTGTGGGAGCCTAGTCTGTTTGGATGCTCACCTTCCTGGACCTGGGGGAAGCAGGGAGGACCTTGGACTTCCCACAGGGCAGGGAACCCTGACTGCTCTTTGGGCTGACGAGGGAGGGGNGGGAGGGGGAGGGAAAGGGGAGGCGGCGGTGGGGAAGAGACAGAAATCTTTAATAAATAAATAAATAATAATAAAAAGAAAGAAGAAGAAAGGCTGATTTTGGGGGTAGATCTCTTACAAGACTGAGGAGTGTTTTTTTTTTCCCCCAAACTCCTTAGAAAACTTTCTGAATTTCTGGATCATATCCAGCCCTGAAATCTCCTTCTGGCACTAGTGCTACTGGGTTCACCTGGAGTAACATGTAGGGTGACATGATTTAATTAAGTAATCAAGACCCAAGGCATGAAGCTTGGAGTGAGACTAATCCTTTTATTATGAAGATGAAAACAAACATGTCTTGCAGCTGGAGAAAACGGAGAGGTAGGAGGGATGTGGTGAGAAAGACAATTAGAAAGTTCCCTACCCTTCACCTGGTACATAATTTGATCCTCAGAGTCCTAATAATGAAAGAAATATACTTTGAGTGGTACTATTGCCATTATTTAATAAATACTTATGTCTGTACAGAGGCAATTCCTTCTGGGGGACACTCAAATAGAAGCATACCCTGGAGCTAGTGTAAGAGAAAACAAGCAAAGGTACAGTGAAATGGATGCAATGGCCATGCTTACATTGCTCTCTAGGCAATGTCAGGTAGGGAACAGACAGTAGGCTGTTATCAAGTGATGCTGTTTCAGTAGATGGCTCAGGTGATGTGGTCCAGATGCTTCCCTTCAAATGATCTCACTTAGGACCTGTAAGGTAAGGCTTGGCCTATCTTAGACTCCCTCTTAAGAATAAGATTTTTTTTTTTTTGAGAATAGGAAATAAAAAAGTTTCCGCCTCCTCCCAGCCTCCCATTTCCCTCCCCCTCCCCCACTCCTCTCCCCCTCCCCCCACTCCTCTCTCCCTCCCTCTCAAATCCAAAGAGCAGTCAGGGTTCCCTGCCCTGTGGAAAGTCCAAGGTCCTCCCCCCTCCGTCCATGTCTAGGAAGGTGAACATCCAAACTGGCTAGGCTTCCACCAAGCCGGAACATGAAGTAGGATCAAAATCCCGTGCCATTGTCCTTGGCTTCTCATCAGCCCTCATTGTTCGCCATGATCAGAGAGTCTGGTTTTATCCCATGCTTTTTCAGTCACAGTCCAGCTGGCCTTGGTGAGATCCCAATAGATCAGCCCCACTGTCTCAGTGGGTGGGTGCACCCCTCGTGGTCCTGACATCCTTGCTCGTGTTCTCCCTCCATCTGCTCCTCATTGGGACCTTGGGAGCTCAGTCCAGTGCTCCAGTGTGGGTCTCTATCTCCATCCATCACCAGATGAAGGTTCTATGGCTTTTATCACAGCTGCAGCCTTCCCCCACCCTTCCCTCCCAGTCCTTATCTCCCATTCCCACCCCACCCACCAATCCCCTCCTCTTCCATCTCCATCAACACTAACACTTTTTAGTATTTCTATAGCAAAGGGGATCACGCTCATGAGGTTGACTATTTGGTAGCTACCTGGAATCAAGGTCCCTACTACTAGACAATAACAAACAGTGACATTTTCTGTGTCTGTTAATTATCTACTATCTGGAACCATGGCTTCATTTTCCAGTTTTATAACACATTTGAATGTGATAGGCTCATTCCTAATGTCTTTTCATAGTCTCAAACAACAATCTCAGGAAGCCAACATTGTCACTGTCTTCCTATGTGGAATCTAAAGGTCAGGGAAGATATGAGCTATGAATCCTTTGCTCTTTCCTCAATATGCCCCTTACTCTTCTGATGCCACGGTTTGGGCCCTTGGAATATTTTTGTTTTTTATATATAAACATTATATAACAACAGCATATTTGATTTGGTGGACAATAACCTGCATTCCAATCAAGCTATTATTCTGCTCTCAAAAGAACAAGTCCTTGTGAGGGGCTATCAAAGCAACAGTGAGAAAGGTTGCAATGAGTGGACAAGGCAGGTAGAAACCTAAGGGAGGACCCACTCTGACTAGGTAAGGAATGAAGGAAGCCTTAACGGAGGTGAGGCCATCCAGGGAAAGGAGCAGCTGCTGAGGTTAGAAATCTCCTTAATGTGACAGAGGCAGGCAGGATGAAACAAGAAACTCCGAGTCAGAGCTTCTCAACCCTGTTCCTAATGAAAATTAGTAACATCCGGGAGTAGGGTGCTGTACTGTACACTATAGTGTATGTCATCACATCCCTGATCTCTACCCATTAGAAACCAGTAGCTTCCCATAATATCCAGGTAGTTACAACCAATCAAGGTTTGAGACTCTCCTAAATGCCCCAAGGGCATGATTATTTCTTTAGGAAAAGATGTATCAGATAAGGGGTGGTCGAATGGGGGTGGTCTGGGCAGGTGAAGAGTAAGGAGAGACCTAGAGCTAGAAGGGCAAACAAATGCTGCGGCAAGAGTTCTCCCTCACTAAGGACCTCCAGAGTGGACTCCTACAGTATGGAAGCACACAGAGCCTCAGGAGGAACACAATATATACCTACTCAAGGTGACTCTACAACTAGGCAGCCTGGCAAAATCAAATCCTCTCTTTTGTCTTTTGAGTAAAGGGATATAAGAAAAGAAGACATGTTAATGCTGCGGAAGAGTCAAGAGCCTGGGACTCGTACACCTATTTGGGAAATTTGAAGGTACCAGGATTAGGATTATTGACCTAGGATATGCTTAGGAGAGTGATCCACACTTATCTTCTCAGGCTAGCTCCTTTCTTCCATCTCTCGTCCTTAGCCCAGAAACAGCAGAAAAGGAGTGTGGATACATACTCCTGGGAGGCAGAAAGGAAAAAGGAGGAAGAAGGAGAAGGTGAGAGAATTTTGAGGTACTAAATATATAATGATGGAGTTCATGAATGGGACTATATTTCTCAGCAAAAAGAAAAAGGCAGAACTGGGACAAAGGTTGAGATAAGGTAAATGAGGAGAAATGAGCATTTGCAAATGCTCACCAAGCAGCAATATGGGAAGGCACATTATATGAGTCACTACATCTAGTGTTGACACTATCACTTAATACCCAAACATGGAACAGACATTAACAGGTTTTCATCGCAGAAGTACAAAGAAGCAAATGTGCAAATTAAGGGACCCCACAGTATGACCAGTCTTCCAAGCTTGTTTAGTGTATTTCTCCTTGCTGTGTCTTTTCACTCCAGTACACCACAAGCCTTTTGCGCCACATGAACTGGCACTGCTTGTGTACAGGTCTGTGAGCTGCTGTGAACTAGAGTGTCAGGCTGCAGTTGGGGTTCCTTGTTTCCAGTGTTCTCTTATGCACTAAGCCTCACAGCTACCAAGAAAGCAAATGAGAGTTAACACTGAGGTAGACAAAGGACCACGGAGGCCCAGCTGTCTGAATTTACAGCAGTACTAATGAGCACTTGCTTACATAACTGCCTCTCGTGCTATGCTCATCGGCCACTAGATGAAAGCGGAGTTGGCTTTCCACTCCTGAGCTATATATAATCCAGACTTTGAACAGGAGACTATGCTACAGCTACAGCTCTGCCACATTAAATATTGAAATTCCCCTTAAAGACCCAACATTTTTACCAGTGACGCCATACAATAATACAGGCTGAGTACTGAGATATCTAAGTTTAGATACCTTCCCCACATTTTTATCCTGACAACATTCATTATCTCTTGTTCCACTGTGACAAACAAGCAACAGAAATTGGGAAGGGGAATGCTGAGAAGACAGTTGGCATAAGCTCAGCCTTGATGCTAGAACTGAGAGTCTCCAGTCCCAAATGGCTGTACTTCACATGGGATAGATAAGTAGTTTCAAGGAAACCAGGTTTGCTTTTGCTTCTTTACTGTCTATCTCCTAGGATCTAACCCTGGAATCTATGTCAACATGATTGAAGGAATAATGAAGCAAACAGAAAACTATTTATTTGTCTTGGGGCTGACAAAAGCTGAGCTCTACTGAATAATCCCCCCTTTTAAGATAGTTACCTGAAAACTGTGTTTTTCTGAACCCTCTTAGAGCATGTATTTATTAAACAGTGGTCCCACACCCTTTCTATTCATGTTAGTCTTAAATGGTTCTTCAGTTTCTGAAGGCCAAAGTGTGTTGTTTTCATAAATTGTTACACATACTCTGAGCATTAAAACTTACATATTTTAGGGCTGGTGAGCTGGTTTAGTGGGTAAGAGTGCTTGCCACCAAGTCTGATGACCTGAGTGTGATAACCACACATGTGGTGGGAGGAGAGAACCAACTGGACAGTGGTCTGCTAGCCTGAACACTCACTGTGACACACATACAGAGCAAAATAAAATATAAAATTCAGTCTATCAGTAACATTCATGTTTTGTCAGTTTGATTGGGCTTTTCCCCAAAGCAATTCTTAAACAAGGGTGAGATTTCAAAAAATAAAATCATGCTGTTTTATATTATAATACTTAAGAATAAAAAGCAGATAAACTAAATGTTTCTTGTATTAGCATTAATGCTAGCATCTAAGTATTACTAGATGACTATTTATAGGTGCAAACTCTCAGAAAGAATGTATACAGTGGGACATTTTGAAGCAAGCCTGTAAGTACGGCACTGGGGAAGCAGAAGCAGAGGCAAGAGAATGACTGAAAGTTTGGGGTCAGCATGGTCAACATATGAAGTTCCAGGTTAGCCAGGAGCATAGCTCTGTCTCAAATATATATATTGAGACTTGTTCAACACTGGGCTGCTCAGCTGTATCTAGTCACATCCAAGAGTGGGCATGCCATTATATTTGGAGTCATATAAAACTGAGTTCCAACTCTGACTCGGCTTCTTCCTCATACAGGCCACTTGGGTTTGGGGGAAGTATTGAAACTCCCAAATCCCAATTTTCATTGGTATAATATATAAGTGTAAACGTCGTATAGTTCACTACATTAGACATGACAGTGTATGTGAGTCACTGACAGCATGTTGTTAGCCCAGGAGACTTCCT